AAACAAAGTCGAAAATCTCGAAAGTTGCATGGTGAATTTCAGTCAAATTTTATATAGATATAGTATATGATATGGCGTATAAGATAGCAAGGTAAAATCGGTGGTAACCTAATTAACTGGTACAACCGGTAGAGTCGGAGCCAGAATCTGATCCTCACGGCCTCAAGTGTTGACCACTCATTCCGATAGAGTGGACACTCATTCTTGTGATACTTCCAGTCATTCTTCTGACACTCTTTATTGCAATAATACATGTGCTGACAGTCCGGGCATCTCCTGAATCTATCCGATCGTTGGACACAATTATCACAATATTTCCATTTGCTTTCATTGTGTATGACATGAATGATAGGCATGTCTTGAGTGATCACATCTCCGGGTAATAAAGGTTTCGACAGTTTTGGTGACATCTCTGGCCATAGATTTCATATTAATTGTAAAACACTTGTTTTTAATACAATTCTCAAGACTTACCACTGATTGTGTGATTTGATCCGATTGTGTGATGTCTTGTGTTAAAAGCGATGGACTAATGGTATGAATGAGTTGTCCGTAAAGTGTCTCACAATTGATGGACTGATCTGTAGATTACTGCGTCAAAAGTGAGACCAAATGTTTACTCAAGTGCTTTATTTATATCCAAAACCTATGGATTAATGGATTACTAGATAATAATAAGTTAGTTATAACTCGTAATTTGTTAAAATAATTGAAATTATAATTTGTTTTGTCAAAATTACAAATCACTATAACTGTAATGCGTTTGATTTCATTGACTGCTATTTGCTGTCTATTGACTGATGAGTCAAATGTCAATTCAATTTTAACCCATATATGCACAATACCTATTCTCACGGGTCAAACTATACATATTGGTAGTAGCATAAACTGTATTAAATACTGTGTTATGCAAATTCATAGGTCAAATAAATATATACAAATAATATCGCTCTAAATATTAATAGTTATGATTATTATTATTGGCTATAATTTGAGCGCAAATTTTAAATTTAACATTAGTTTATAAAAGTGGTCTCATTTGTGGTAATTAAGGTTTACATTTACCCCGATTTATAAAATTGTTGTTTGTCTTACAGAATCTTGTTGATTAAATAAAAACGATCTCAATTTCAAACATTATTTATTCAATTAATACAAACATTATTCATATAAATAAATGATTATTTGTATTCGTAATACAAAATGCTTTCATAATTTCGTACATTTATATGAATAGAAAATGAATTAATAATTTTTTTTAACAAAAAAGTAAATATTAATTAATAAATGTTTGAATTAAAGACTGCTATAAAAGAGATTCAAATTACGATAGAAACGGCGCTTAAAGGGAGAGCCGTCACCAGTGGTCACATCCAAAGCCTTAGCGGTCATATCGCGGACCTCATTGAACAGCCGATCCGGTGCTGACCGGCTGTCCACCAGATGCTGTCTTAAATCGTTGAAACAATAATAGAGAGCAAACGTCTTGTACGGCTCGTAATCGCCGTAAACCACATCCAAATCAGCCAATAATGAGCGCAAATAAGTCTCCAATTGGCCGTCGGCTACGAGTCCACTGATGACCGACGTATTCACGTATGACTTCAATCGCTTGTAATCCACGTCTCGGTCCGTATTGTCCACACATTTCACGCACTGGCAGTCAATGCCCTGACTTTTAAGCTCAGCCCGTCTTTCCGATTGGTTGAGAAGCGGGTCACCAAAGCATATGGTAATCTCCTCTCCCGGAGCTATCGATCTCATGGCCCGCAACTCAATCACACGTCCTGTCCATCGGGTTATCAATTGAAACACTCACTATATATCAGGAAATATGTGATTGACAATAACTATACAAACCGTCATATTTGTAAATATAGGCGCTGTTTGGTTGGCAGCTATGGCTCAGTGTTGACATTACGGGAAACAAAGCTGTGGCCACTGCGGACACACCTTCGGCGTCACCGCATACGATGTCATACCACCCGATATTCATCATAAATGCGAACCATTGGTGGAAGTGTTGGCGATCGTAAGGCAGAGCCAATGCCTTCAAGAGATCGCAAATTGTCTCAAATAATGATTTGTATTCATTATCCTTAATAGTGGTCTTGTCTTTGATGTCATTGAGACTGACTTCCGATCCGTCAAACAATCGGTGCTTTTCTGTGGCAAACGTTGGGATGTTTTGCACCGATAGATACAATCGGAGCCAAAGTCGCACAGATTTTAGCACAGGTTTTGTAATCATTGGCCAATTGGGGCGATAGACTGGACACTCATACTTGTGATACTTCCAGTCATTATTCAGACACTTTTTACCGCAATAAAACATATAAAGACAAAACGGACAACTCTTCAGTTGATCCGATCGTTTGATACAATTATCGCAATATTTGCCTTTGGATTTCAATTCTAGAGTGTGAACGATAGGCGTGTCTTCGGTGATCACATCTCCCGGTGATAACGGTTTCGACAGTTTTGGTGACATTTCTGGCCATAGATTTCATTACAAATGATAAACACGTGTTTAATTTATTTCATAACAAACTTACCGCTGGTTTTCAATTGTTAATGATTTGATCCGTTATATGAAAGCAATTAATAAGTGGTGACTAAAGTGCCTCTCAGATTATGGACTGATCTGTAAATTAATGAATGAAAAGTGAGAACAAGTGTTGACTCAAAGCAATCATCACTTGATTTATATCCAAAACCTATGGCTTATTATTGGCTATAATTTGAGCGTAAATTTCAAATTTAAGATTAGTTTTTAAAAGTGGTCTCATTTGTGGTAATTATGTTTACATTTACCCCGAATTATAAAATTGCTGTTTGTCTTACAGAATCTTGTTGATTAAATAAAAACACTATCAATTTGAAACATTATTTATTCAATTAATCATTTATAAGTTTTAATTCATATGAACTTTAAGCTAAATTTTAATTTATATTTATTTTCTTTAATTAAACCAATCATTACAACACCAAAAATAGTCATTAGAAACAAACATACAATTTATTCATTATTTTTAAATGTAAAATAGCAAATATTAATTAATAATCATATTTTAATTACGAGAGAGAGAGAGAGAGAGAGAGAGAGAGAGAAAGACTACAAAGTTGTATAAAACAGATTAAGATTATAATAGAATCGTGTCTTAAAGGGACAGTCCTTCCAATTCGTCACTTTCAACGCCTTTTCGGTCAAATCGCGGATCTCTTTGAACAGTGAATCGGGTGCCGATCGGCGGCTCATCAGGTAATGGATGTAAACCAATGTGTAATTAATGAGAGTCATTGTCTTCAACGGATGATAATCGCCGTAAACCACATCCAAGTCCTTCAACAATGACCGCAAATAAGTCTCCAATTGAGCGCTGGATTTGAATCCACTCAACACCGACTTATCCACGTCTGGCTGTAATCGCCGGTAATCCACGTCTCGATCCGTATTGTCCACACATTTCACGCACTGGCAGTCAATGGACATACTCTTCAGCGCCAACTGTTTCTCCTTGGGATCCATTTTCAAGTCCACACGACTTACGGTAATCTCTTCTCCCGGAGCTATCGATCTCATGGCCCGCAACTCAACCGTATGTCCTGTCCATCGGGTTATCAAACGATACAATCATAAGAGTCGGCAATAATTGAATTGAAAACTACATTACAAACCATTGAATCGCGAAATACAGCAACTGTTGGGCCGACAGCTGTGGCTCAGTGTTAAGGTCTGGAGGTTTAGACAGAGGGCTACTGTGGCCACAGACCCGGCGGCACCGCATTGCAGGTAATATAGATTATAACTATTCATTAGTGGCGACCATTGCATCAGTTCTTCGCAAACGTAATCGACACCCAATTCAGTGAATAACTCGCAAATGGTTTCAAACAACTCGATGTCGTCGTTATCACCGTTGGAATCAATGGCGTTGTCTTTGATGTCATTGAGACTGACATCCGATCCGTCAAACAAACGGTACTTTTTTGTGGCAAACGTTGGGATGTTTTGCACCGAAAGGTAGAGTCGGAGCCAAAACCTGATCCTCATGTTTACGCTTTCAAGTGTTGACCACTTTTTCCGATAGACTGAACACTCATTCTTGTGATACTTCCAGTCATTCTTCTGACACTCTTTACTGCAGTAATACATGTGAAGACATTTCGAGCATCTCTTCAATTGATCCGATCGTTGGACACAATTATCGCAATATTTGTCTTTAAAATCATCGACTATTGAGTGAACGATTGGTATGTCTTCGGTTATCACATCTCCCGGTGATAACGGTTTCGACAGTTTTGGTGACATTTCTGGCCATAGATTTCATAACAAATAAAAAACAATTGTTTTTAAGTTTTAATTAAAACACATTTTTATTAATGGTTTTGTGACAAAACATTTGTAGACTTACCGCTGATTTGATCCAATTGTGTGACAAAAGTGGATGTAATTTGTGATCAAATCTATGGTAAATATGCTGTGAATGAATGGCCGCTATATTGTCGTCCAGTTTATGGACTGATCTGTGGATTAATTTATGAAAAGTGAGACCAAGTGTTGACTCAAAACAATGATCACATGATTTGTGTCCCAAACGTATGGCTCAACACAATTGGCGCACATTTTCAAGCATTCAAATAAAATATTTTTTTTGAAATATTAATTTGATTTAAAATTACAATTAAAATGATTTGTTTATCAAATTAGTGGTAATAAAACATATAATTAAAGTTATTCAATGAATAAGACATTAAATACAGTTTTTTAATAAATTTACTTTTATTTGAATTACAAAAATCAAAGACAAATCACTCAAAACAAGTGTTTGATTAAAATATATGAGTTATGAAATCGCAAAAATAGTTTTAAAATAATTACAAATAGTTTTCATAAACAAGTTTTTATATAATCATTGATTTAATTCTAATATATTAAATACAATTAAATGTTTTAATTTATATTTAGCTAATTGTATGACAAACTAATTAATTTGTTTGTCATTAAAACACATTTTGTGTATTATTAAAAGTAGTGATCAATAATATGTCTATATTTCTAACTGTGATTCAATTTTAATAATTAATAAATGCACACAAAATTATAATTATCTAATTATGAATAGCGAAACAAATGACAAAACAATTCAAATACAATTAAATCAATTTAAACATAATATAGTTTACGATTGCAAGACATGTGCATTGAGTCTGTGTTTGCAGAGACTGTCGTACAGTATATCGTAATGTCATTTACTGTAGAGAACAGGATTCGAGTGGCGATGCATAGAATTCTTCCCGAAACGGACATTCCTTACCATTGGTCACATCCAACGCTTTTTCGGTCATATCCCGGACCTCTTTGCGTAGGGAATCGGGCGCTGATCGACAGGTCTTCAGAGCATTGGAGTATATGATGAGGGCCTGTGTCCTGAAGGGATAGTAATCGCCGAAAACCACATCCAAATCGGCCAAAATTGTCCGCAAATTAGCGTCAAGTTTAACCGCCGAAACGGTTCCGTACGCGTCGTTGAAAATCACAGACTGGATGTACTCCGGCTGAAGGCGGCGGTAATCTATGTGTCCGTCCGTATTGTCCATACATTTCTCGCACTCGCAGTCTATGGATATCATTTTCAAGTCTCTCTGTCTGTCCGCTTTGTTTAGACACAAATCCACACGACTTATTGTAATCTCTTCTCCCGGTGCTATCGATCTCATGGCCCGCAACTCTACTGTATGTCCTGTCCATCGGGTTATCAATCAATAAATTGTGTAATAAGTCATACAATTATTGTTAAACAAACCATTGAATCGTGAAATACAGCAACTGTTGGGCCGACAGCTGTGTTTCAGAGTTGACATTTGGAGGTATAGACCGGTGGCCACAGTCTCTATATAACCGGGTCGTCCGCATTGGATGTCATACCAGCGGCCACTCATTAAAGCCAACCATTCTTCCAGAACTTCGCATTTGATACCACACTTCATGAAGACTTTGCGAATGGATTTCAATACAGACTTATCTCCATTGGAATCAATAGCTTTGTCTTTGATATCTTTGAGACTGACTTCCGATCCGTCAAACAATCGGTGCTTTTCTGTGGCAAACGTTGGGATGTTTTGCACCGAAAGGTAGAGTCGGAGCAGAAATCTGGTCCTCATATTTGCCGCTTCAAGTGTTGACCACTTCTTCCAATAGAGTGGACACTCATTCTTGTGATACTTCCAGTCATTCTTCTGACACTCTTTATCGCAATAATGAAAGCGAAGACATTTCGAGCAGTTTTTCAATCGATTTGATTTTTTAAGACAATTATCGCAATAATTGTCTTTGAATTCAACCGCCAATACATGAATGATAGGCATGTCTTCGGTTATCACATCTCCCGGTGATAACGGTTTCGACAGTTTTGGTGACATTTCTGGCCATAGATTTCATAACAAATTAAAAACACATGTTTTTTCATGTAATTCACAAACACTTACCTCTGATTGTATTATTTACTCCAATTGTGTGACAATGTCTTGTGTTGGAAGCGATGGACTTATGGTATGAAAGAGTTGTCCGTAAAGTGTCTCTCAGTTTATGGACTGATCTTTGGTCTTATCATAACTCTTATGAGACAAAGGGTTGAGTGAAAGGCTTTGAGTGAAAACAATGATCACATGATTTTTGCCCAAAACCTATAGCTTAACACAATTGGCGCACATTTTCAAGCATTCAAACGAATATAATATTTTTTAAATTTATTAAAATTGCAATTAAAATGATTTATTTATCAAATTATTTGTAATTAAACATAATTAGAGTTACAATCAATATTCAACGAATAAGACATTAAATACAGTATTTTAATAAATGTACTGTTATTTGGATTACAAAAATCAAAGACAAATCACATGAAAATTATTCAAAACAAGTGTTTGATTAAAATATATGAGTTATGAAATCGGAAAAATATTTCAAATTATCAATAGTTTTGATAAACAATTTGTGTTATATAATCATTGATTTAGGTTTTATATATTAAAAATGAAATTAAATGTTTTGATTTACATTTAGCTCATTGTGTGATTTTGATTGATTTGTTTTTGTCATTAAAACACATTTAGTGTATTATTAAAAGTAGTGATCAATAATGTGTCTATATTTCTAACTGTGATTCAAATTTAATAATTAATAAATGCAAACAAAATTCTAATTATCTGATTATGAATAGCGAAACAAACAATTCAAACACAATTAAACATTAGATGATTTACGATAACAGCATCCGCACTGTAACTGAACCCTATTGTCATCACTACTATTGGGTAATCCATGCAAATCGTTGTAGTCTTTGGGCGACACAATTCTCATGCCCTGCAAAATACATTGCATGAAATGGTCCTGAAATGGACAGCCCTTACAACTGGTCACAGCCAACGCGTCGGACGTCATTTGCATCACTTCGCGGTACAGGGGATCCACTGGTGATCGACAGGCCTGTAGTTGTTTGAAGCACGTTAGGAGCGTCCGTGTTCTCAACGGGTGGTAATCGCCGTAAACCACATCCAAATGGGCCACAACTGTCCGAAACATTCTTTCATAGGAGGACTGCGAACCCGCCCGACGCATGAGCTGAATATACTCCGGCTGTAGGCGCAGGTAATCCACGTTTCGATCCGAAATGGCCACACATTTCTCGCACTCGCAGTCTATGGATATAGATTTCAACGCTTTCTGTCTTTGCCTTTTATTTTGAACCAAATCCACACGACTTATGGTAATCTCTTCTCCCGGAGCTATCGATCTCATGGCCCGCAACTCAATCACATGTCCTGTAATCGGGTTATCAATAAATTCTGTAAAAAGTGATTTAAAATAACGATACAAACCATTGAATCTGGAAATACAGCAACTGTTGGGACGACAGCTGTGTTTCAAAGTTGAGGTCTGGAGGTATAGACCGGTGGCCACAATATCTATATCACCGGGTTGTCCGCATTTGATGTCATACCAGCGGCCAGTCATTAAAGCAAACCATTGTTCCAGTTCTTCGCGTCCGTATTTAATACCACATTTCATGAAGACTTTGCAAATAGATTTCAATACAGACTTATCTCCACTTAAATCAATGGCTTTGTCTTTGAGATCATTGAGACTGACATCCGATCCGTCAAACAATCGGTGCTTTTCTGTGGCAAACGTTGGGATGTTTTGCACCGAAAGGTAGAGTCGGAGCATAAATCTGGTCCTCATATTTGCCGCTTCCAGTGTTGACCACTTCTTCTGATAGAGTGGACACTCATTCTTGTGATACTTCCAGTCATTCTTCTGACACTCTTCACAGCAATAATGAAAACGAAGACATTTCGAGCAGTTTTTCAATTGATCTGATTTTTTAAGACAATTATCGCAATACAAGTCTTTGAATTCAACCGCCAAAACATGAATGATAGGCAAGTCTTCGGTTATCACATCTCCCGGTGATAACGGTTTCGACAGTTTTGGTGACATTTCTGACATAAATTTGATAACAAATGAAAAACAAGTCGTTTAATAAAATGTTCAAAACTTACCGCTAATTTCATGATTAGATTCATGTGTGTCCTTACAATTGGTCACTTCCAACGCTTTGGCGGTCATATCCCGGAACTCTTCGAGTAGGGAATCGGGCGCTGATCGACAGGTCTTCAGAACACTGGTGTAGATCACCAGCGCATGTGTCCTGAAGGGGTGGTAATCGCCGTAAACCACATCCAAATCGGCCAAAATTGACCGAAACTTAGCTCCGAGTTCGGCCGCAGAAGCGATTCCGTACTCATTGTTGAAATTCATAGACTGGATGTACTCCGGCTGAAGGCGTCGGTAATCTATGTGTCCGTCCGTATTGGCCACACATTTCTCGCACTCGCAGTCTATGGACATACTTTTCAACACCTCCTGTCTGTCCGCTTTGTTTTGAAGCAAATCCACAAAACTGATGGTAATGTCCTCTCCCGGAGCTATCGATCTCATGGCCCGCAACTCAATCACATGTCCTGTAATCGGGTTATCAATAAATAAATTGTGTAATAAGTGATTGAAAATAACAATTATTGTCAAACAAACCATTGAATCTGGAAATAAAGCAACTGTTGGGACGACAGCTGTGTTTCAATGTTGAGGTCTGGAGGTATATACCGGTGGCCACAGTCTCCACATAACCGGGTCGACCGCATTGGATGTCATACCAGCGGCCACTCATCAAAGCGAACCATTCTTCCAGTTCTTCGCGTCCGTATTTAATACCACATTTGTTGAAGACTTTGGCGGTGTATTTCAATACAGACTTCTCTCCATTGGAATCAATGGCGTTGTCTTTGAGATCATTGAGACTGACATCCGATCCGTCAATCAATCGGTGCTTTTCTGTGGCAAACGTTGGGATGTTTTGCACCGAAAGGTAGAGTCGGAGCATAAATCTGGTCCTCATATTTGCCGCTTCAAGTGTTGACCACTTCTTCTGATAGAGTGGACACTCATTCTTGTGATACTTCCAGTCATTCTTCTGACACTCAATACAGCAATAATGAAAGCGAAGACATTTCGAGCAGTTCTTCAATTGATCCGATTTTTTAAGACAATTATCGCAATAAAAGTCTTTGAATTCAACCGCCAATACATGAATGAGTGGTATGTCTTCGGTTATCACATCTCCCGGTGATAACGGTTTCGACAGTTTTGGTGGCATTTCTGGCCATAGATTTCATAACAAATGAAAAACACGTGTTTTTATGCAATTTACAAATACTTACCAATGATTTGATGAATGAATCCAATCGTGAAACTAATCTTTATTGAAACCAATGATCGGATTAATGGTATGAATGACTAAATTATGAATCAATTTATGGACTGATCTGTGGATTAATGTGTGAAAAGTGAGACAAAGGGTTGACTCAAACAATGATCACATGATTTATGTCCCAAACCTATGGCTTAACACAATTGGCGCACATTTTGAAGCATTCAAATAAAAATGTATTTTTTAAAATCTTTTTAATTAAAATGATTTGTTTATCAAATTAGTTGTAATAAAATAGTCAATGAAATTAAATTCAACGACTAATACATGAAATACAGTATTTTATAATCAATTAAACGATAAATAATTTGAAAGTAAATCAATGTTTGCAAAATGTGTTACAAAAACAATCGTCACTTGAATTCACGTATCATTTAGTGTTTGAATGAAATTTTCAATTTGAAAACAATAAGAAAAAGTTTTGCATTAAAAATACAATTAAATATTTTGTATTGAGATTAAAGTTAAACATGTATTGAACTGATTATAATTTGTAAACAATTTATTCATTTCTCAAACGCCTAACATTTGCCGACAATTGCAAGATATGAAAGGTTTGCATGAAAGAAGCCATAAGCGGGCCGTCGGCCAGACATGTGATGTCAATAGCTTTCACTAATTTGGCGATCAATTCATTGAACACACATTTGGTTAATTGCGGACAATTGTGTACTCTTATGACAATTGTATTCAAATACATTGTCTTTAGTGGGAAAAAGTCACCGAAAACAATGTCCAAATCGGCCAATAGTTTCCACAAGTAATCGTTAAATTGTGCGCCAAATGTAAACACATGAATGGGAAAGAGGGGACCGGTTTCGAGGCGTTGATAATCGACGTCACGATCCGAATGGTGGACACATTTATCGCACTCGCATACCATTGACCACCTTTTGAGCTCATATAGTCTGTCCGTACGGTTTATGTGCAGCGGGACGTGACTAATAGTGATCTCTTCGCCGGCGGCTATCGGTCTCATTGCCCGCAATTGCATCGAGAGATCTATTGAATAATAATATTGTCAATTAAAACATATGATAACACAATTGGTATAAACTTTACGTTTATAATCTGTGAAGTTATGAATGAGAGCACTATTGGGTTGACAGCTGTGTCTAATGAACCGGTTCTGAAGGTATAGTCCAATACCTATTGGCTCAAGACTTAGTTCAACTTCTGTGAAGGATCCCATCGGAATCAATGGATTGCAACTGTCGAGGAATGACACCCAATGTATCACTTCTTCGGGTTTGTGACGGACACCCAATTCGACCAACACTTTGTGCAATGCCTTATGTCTTCGGCCGTTAATGGCCTCGAAGTGAATGTCATCCACTTTGATGTCTCTGAGACTGACTTCCGAGCCGTCAATCAATCGATGCTTTTCTGTGGCAAACGTTGGGATCTTTTTGACCGAAAGGTAGAATCGGAACCAAAGTCTGAGCCAATCATTAGAGAGAAGCAGTTCTGGTATTTCGTGTCGAAGGAGTGGACACTCATTCTTGTGATACTTCCAGTCATTCTTCTGACACTCTTTACTGCAGTAATACATGTGAAGACATTTCGCGCATCTCTTCAATTGATCCGATTGTTTGAAACAATTGTCGCAATATTTGTCTTTGGATTTATTGTATAAGATATGAATGAGTGGTATGTCTTCGGTTATCACATCTCCCGGTGATAACGGTTTCGACAGTTTTGTCGGCATTTCTGGCCATAGATTTCATAACAAATCAAAAACACATGTTTTTATGCAATTCAAAAAACTTACCACAGATGTGATGATTGGATCCAATTGTGAGACAAAGTCTTGTGTTGGAAGCGATGGACTTATGGTATGAAAGAGTTGTCCGTAAAGTGTCTCACAGTTTATGGACTGATCTGTGGATTAATGGCTGAAACAAATTGAGACAAAGGGTTGAGTGAAAGGCTTTCAGTGAAAACAATGATCACATGATTTGTGTCCCAAACGTATGGCTCAACAAAATTGGCGCACATTTTAAAGCATTCAAATAAAAATGTATTTTTTGTAATCTTTATTTGATTTAAAATTGCAATTAAAATGATTTGTTTATCAAATTAGTTGTCATAAAATAGTCAATGAAATTAATGAAGAATATACTAAATACAATATTTTATGAGTCAATTAAACTACAGATAATGTGAAAGTAAGTGAATGTTTGCAAAATGTGTTACAAAAACAATCGTCACTTGAATTCACTTATTATTAAGCGTTTGATTGAAAACTATAAGAAATAGTGTTGAATTAAAAATACAATTAAATGTTTTGTATTGAGATTTAAAGCAGACAATTAGTAAAATGAAAATTTTCTTAAAATATCCATTAATTATCATGTAATTAAAATTTATCTAAACAATTGTCGACTAATCAATTAATTAAACAATAAATCCAATAAATATTAAACAGTATTTGAACAATAATTATGTTTTACAATAAGAGAAATGAATAAACAGTGAAAATATATTAAACATGTATTGAAATTATTAATTTCCCAAACGCTTAACATTTGCCGACAATTGCAAGACATGAAAGGTTTGACTGAAACGAGCCCTAACCGGGCCGTCGGCCGGACACGTGATATTAATGGCTTTCATTAAATTGGCCGTCAATTCATTGAGCATCGATTCGGGTAATTGCGGACAATTGTGTACATTTAGCACAATTAGATTCAAATACTTTGTCTTAATTGGATGGAAGTCACCGAATATCACATCCAAATCGGCCAATAATTTCCGCAAATGATCCATAAATTGTTGGCCGAATGTGAAGACACGGACGGGAAAGAGATGACCGCTTTCGAAGATCTCGTAATCGACCCGTCGGTCCAAATGGTGGACACATTTGTCGCACTCACACACTATAGACCACTGTTTGAGTACATTCTCTCTGTAAGTGCGGTCACTCTCTAAAAAGAGTACACGACTTATGGTAATGTCTTCGGTGGCGGCGATCGGTCTCATTGCCCGCAATTGTAACGATTGTCCTAACAGTGAGTGATTGGAAATTATTAAATGGTAGTAAAAATAGTCGATATATTGTATAACCTCTGCCGCTGTAAATGAGGGCACTGTTGGGCTGACAGCTGTGTCTGAGAGACCGGTGCTGAAGATATACAGCCATACCTATTGATGCGGACATATAATGACCGCATCTGATGAACGTTAACGGTTCGCAACTGTAGAGGAATGACATCCAATGTATCACTTCTTCGGGTTCGTAACGAACTCTTAATTCCTTTAAGACTTGTTGTGATGCCTCGAACTCACGCCTTCGCTCGTCAGTTGCGTCCACACAAGTGGTGTCCACTTTGATGTCATTGAGACTGACATCCGAGCCGTCAATCAATCGATGCTTTTCTGTGGCAAACGATGGCTGAATGAGTGACTAAAGTGCAGATCAATTGATGAACTGATGTGTAGTTTAATGCCTGAAACTCTCATTACAAGTGAAGGTCAGCACAAAGTCAAGTGTGGGTCACGTGTTGTCACAAACAGAGCTTATTATAACTAATTCTATGATTTTTAAGTAATATTGACCACAGATTTGGGAATATTTTGATTAAATTTGTGTCAAATTATATATAAAAACCAGAATTAAATTAAAATTTTAATTTTCTTCACTTTTTTAAATAATACCCAAAACTGATTACAATATCTATCCCGATGTTATTTATATAGAAATGTATATTTAAATAAATGTGAATTCCTGGCTATTTATTCTCACTCTCATTATCGCCACAATTGATGCCTTTTAATACATTATAAGTCATAAATTGCGGGCAAATTATGTAAATTTTATGCAAATTATATTTTAATTTTATAAATTAATTTTAATAAAATTACAATCAAAATAATAATTTGTTAAGAAATTATAATAAAACAGATAATCAAGTCATTGGTTAATACAGTATTGATTGATTGTGTATTGCATTTTTACATAATAAAAAAGAAAAATTGTTTTGAGAGTAAATCAATGTTTGAAAATGTGTGTAAAACATAATAACGACTTGAATTCAATTTTCATTTTTCACATTAAAAATAATAAAAATTGATTACAAAATACAATTAATTAATCATATGTTTTGAATTATGAATAAACAAAATAATACGAATAAAAGTTATACTAAAACACAATGAAATCATTAAATAAAAATTATAGGAAAGTCTATCAAATATTAATTGTTGCAAATTATTTGAAAATAAGTGATCGATAATTAATAAATTATATCATTTAAACAGTTAAGTAATTGATTAACACATAAGTAATACAGTATTAAAACCATAAGTTTTACATATCATTTGAGAATTTAATAAATTATAAGAAAATTAATTAAACGACGGATTAAATGTTTAAATGAGTCAAAACAGAATTATACAAAAGTTTGGATAAAAAATACAATTAAATTTAATCATATGTTTTGTATTGAGAATTAGAACGAGTGAATAAAATCTAAACTAAAACATATAGTTGTAAAGAAATTAATGTTTGATTAACCCTTAACCCCAACACATATTTTACATACACCTCTACAACAGTCCCTAAAGTTTTTGTATGTAAGACAGTGAAATGTGGAGCACAGGGACTCATAGATGGCTCTCATTCAAAAGTCGAGGCAACACTTACTGACATAAGCGGGTGTGAGAGTCATGTGATGTTTGAGTATGTTTGAGATATTGGGCAATACATAACTAACGCAAATAATTGTTACACTATTAAATTGCTAATTCATAACAATTATGTTAAATTTCATCATTGAATACTAAAAACATAATGCTTTAACAATAGATTATAAACTTATCTAAAATGAGTTTTAATTTATTAATCAATAAAGTAAAGTAAAGCCCATATTTTCTTATTTAAATAATTTATATAATAAAAGTGTTATTTATGGTCAATATCATAACATGAAAACTCCTTTACCAATCACACATTGCATGTTTTGATATCTACAGCCATGTACATGTATATTATATACACTAGGTATTAATTTATTTCTAATTAACTTTCAAACATATGCATAATAACGTAAGTGTATTGCATTTGTTTTATAGCTCACGTTGAATTAGTTCATTAAATCTACAGACATGCATAGATATATTATACACATTAGAAAATAGTTTATTTTCAATACCTGTAAAACATATGCATAATAACGTAAGTGTATTGTATTTGTTTTATAGCTCCCATTGCATTAGTTCATCACAATCTACAGACATGCATAGAAATATTATACACATTAGATTTTAGTTTATTTTCAAAAACATTACAACATATGTATTGTAGTGCATCTGTATTGTGAACTCTAGTAATTAGTATAACAAAACCCCATATTTCTTATTTAAATAAGAAATATGGGGTTTACATACCGATTGAAACATACAAACATATGAAACACAACGTAAGTGTATTGTATTTTTTCATAGCTCACATTGCATTAGTTATTTAAAATGTACCGACATGTATAGATATATTATACACGTTAGATATTAGTTTACTTTACAATAACTCTCAAACATATGAAACATAACGTAAGTGTACTGTATTTG